TTCAATATAATTTTACTAGACGAAAAATATGTAGTATATTAATGGAAAGGAATCATCTTCACTTTACCTATTTCGTCTTGTAACCTCTTTTTACTCTTCTCAGGTCTAATCGCTCTTTCTGCTAATAAACCCAATTTCCTTGGGTCCTTCCTTTTTGACTCATCTGATTTCTTTATAAACACATCAATTGGTTCTCGTCTTCTTCATTCTTCTCACCCACACAAACCCAGGCCTCCTCGATTTCTCCAGAATCATCCGTCAAATCCTCAGTCATGGAAGAAGCTAAAGGTCATCTTCTCGCTTTTATCTATACTATTCGCATTATGATTTTGTGGATCGAGATCGGAGTTTTTATTTTCCCACTATTTCCTGTTTTCTGGGTTTGGATTGTACAATCGAATCGCTCTTCTTATTGAAACTTTTTCCCAGATCAATTTTGCCCTGCGACTTTGGATTCTATTCCCGAATCCAAACTCTTTCTCCATCTTATTCAACGTTGCAGATCGGGAATCCAGAAATTTCTTTCGATTTGAAACTATTTTCTTCATATTTTCCTCATTTATTCTCTCATGCATGTGAACAATTTTAGCCAGGATTTTAGCCACCACACGTTACCACTGTCTATGACAAGTATACTCGGTGTCAATCACAGAGTGTCATATAATCATCACACTTTACATTGGGTTTGAGTTTATGGGATTGTGACTTTAAGTTAGAAACAATGGCTTCTAGATTTGTTTCATCTTCCCTGGAATATTCCCTTTGTTTATGGTGTTGACTTGTATCACAAGGAATGGTATATGTCTCTTTTGTCTGCTAACTTGTGCTGTGAGTAGCCATCAGCTGTTGTTGATCAATGGATGTAATTGTGCGTAGAACATGAACTGTGTCGATTTGGAATTTTAATTCCTTCTGTGATGTTTTGTGTTTGGGGAGGATCTGATGGTTATGTCATTCAACTGTGCAGTGGAAGCTAAAGATGGAACTATCTCCGTGGCTACTGCATTTGCCGGTCACCAACAAGGTATGGACCTTGACATTTTGATGCATTACTTGTAGTGATGACTAATGATATATTCTCTTGATTATGGTTCCACTCAAATTTTCTGGAAAGCTTGATCAATTGTAATTCTTTTAGTGGTTGATGCACCAATTGATATATTTATATACAGCTTAGTTTGCAGATTATGCTCTTGCCATATATCTTTCTGTTTCACTCACGAATGAAGATCTTGTATGTTTCACTCACAGGAACCTTTAGCTTTGTGATATTTCTTTATGTTTTCCACATTCTTAGTTAGTTGAAATATGTAGGTGGTTGGAGAAGTTGTCATGGTTTATGTTTCTACTTTGTCTTTGATCAGCTGTGCAAGACAGCGACCACAAATTCCTAACCCAAGCTGTTGAAGAAGCTTACAAGGGAGTTGATTGTGGTGATGGTGGTCCATTTGGTGCCGTTATTGTGCATAAGAACGAGGTAGTCGCTAGCTGCCACAATATGGTTTTGAAATACACAGACCCAACTGCACATGCCGAGGTCACAGCCATTAGAGAGGTAAAATAGAATATTCTCGATGGATTTGATCAAATTTGTTGCTGTCACTTTGCTCTTGAATCTTGCAAACATTGCTAAAGCCGGTTATCTCTAAGTGGTAACATAAATCCATCACGGTTTCATCTTGCAAATATGCAGGCGTGCAAGAAGCTTAACCAAATCGAGCTATCAGAATGCGAGATTTACGCATCTTGTGAGCCGTGCCCCATGTGCTTTGGAGCTATCCATCTCTCAAGATTGAAGGTATTGTGATATATTACAGAACCATGCCTGCAGAAACCATCTTTGTAATCTCTTCATTATAAGGAGGTCTAAGTTACGCATCTATTTACTGTGAACAGAGATTGGTTTATGGAGCCAAAGCCGAAGCCGCCATAGCCATCGGGTTTGATGACTTCATAGCTGATGCTCTGAGAGGCACCGGGGTTTACCAGAAATCTAACCTGGAGATCATAAAAGCTGACGGGAACGGCGCCGTTATTGCTGAGCAAGTTTTCCAGAACACTAAGGAGAAGTTCCGTTTATACTAGAGC